TTTATCCCGAGTTAGTAGTTTACCCGCCAAAATTTTCACGAGGCCGTAGGTGACACTCAAGAGCGTAGGAACGCTGAATTTGAATAGACAAGGTTGAGCGTGGACAAGGGTCATTACCCCAAAATTTCAGCCTTCTAGACTCCGTGGGAGCATGGGCAGTGGGTCATTACCCTAAAATTTCAGCCTCCTAGACTCCGTGGTTCCCGAGATACTTAATTTACCCGTAAAAAACTTTCACGGGGCCGTACGTGTTACCCGCGGGTACGGGGAAGCTGAATTTGAATTTGCGGGGTCATACGTAGGTGGGGCGTGTTACCCGTGGGTACCGGGAAGCTGAATTTAAATTTGAAGGGTCACACGTGAGTGGGGAACGTCTTACCCGCGGGTACGGGGAAGCTGAATTTAAATTTGCGGGGTCACACATGGGTGGGGAACGTCCGGCCGTACACGTTACCCGTGGGTACGGGGAAGCTGAATTTAAATTTGTGGGGTCACACGTGGGTGGGAAACGTTACCCTAAATTTTCAGCTTCCTAGCTTTTGTGGTTCCCGAGTTGAAAGTTGCGGACAAGTTGCTGCGGACACAAACACACACACAGACAACCCTGTAACAATATGCGTTTTGTACTGCTGTTACACAGCACAAAACGCATAAAAATGGAATACAATATAAAGAAGAATAGACACAAACGTAAAAATGGAATACAATATAAACAGTAATGAAGAAGAGGAACTTAGAGTGGTGCAAGCAAAGAGAAACTGTGAGAAAAAGCCCGAACTTTAAGCAAAAGGGCCTCTTTCTAAGACCGACTTACAACAGATAAAACAACCAATTAATCTTTATACAATCAAAAACTCGTGCCGGTGCGACCATGCGATTTTGCATTAAACTTGAAGCACTTAACTGTGTGATTGGTAATTACTTGTATTTAGTTTATGTACTTATTTGCATAAATCATCGTAAATTTTACGTAAAGGAAAATGAAAAATTTCCGTTCTTTCAAAATGACCTGGTTGCTCAGCGAGCAGTTTTCCTGCCAAAATTTTCACATACTCGTAAGTGAAAACCACGCACACCTGGAGGCTGAACTTGACGCCTTTAAGTTGTACTTGAACAGGGAACATCCCCTTAACATTTCAACCATTCAATTTCTCTAGTTCTCGAGTAAGCAATTTTCCCGCGAAAATTTTCACGTGTCCGTATGCGGGGCTCAAATGTAAATGAAGACTGGTGCCGCAGCCCTGGGAAGGCACTTGACTAGGGAAACTACTGGCAGAATTTCTGCACCAAAGCTTGTTGCTGAGTTGAGATATCCGAAGAGACACACACACATGTATATACACATACAAATACACACACACACACACACACACACACAAACATGCACACAAACTCCCATTCTTCTTTCTTACTGAGTTGCCTATTCGTACCACCATTTCTAAATGCAAAGCTTTTATGCACAGATATCACCCTACTACCAAAATTTAGCTAAGCTGGCTCAAGTCTAAGAGCCGTAGTAATTCAACTGTGAGGAAACAGAATGAGAACTAACCCGTAGGAAGGATGTTGTGAGAGCGAAAGGATTGACTGTGCATAGGCAACATCGTATTGGGCAAGGAAAATTAGCTGCTCAAGGGATAAAATACCCATACCGCGGAAATCAGTCGACGGATCAGCACCCTGAAAATTACTCCAAACAATAGAAAAACCTAATCCTTGACGTATTAAATTACACATAATAAAATACAAATTAAAATAAATATTCGCAACAACTGATGATTTAAGCATAACGCAGTGACAAATGTCGATACTTTCGTTCTGAAGCTCAATGGTCCGATATAGCCTGATGGTTCCACTTTTTCTAGTAATAAGTTAGTAATAGCGCAAACGCGGAGTTGGAAAGCATTGGCGGATCCGGGGGAGGGGGAAATGATGGGTTCTTCACCCCTCCCCATCCGGATCCGGGGTATAGGTAGCAGTGCTAAAATTGAAGAAAACTGTCCTCCCACCTTCCCTCCTAGGAGTCCCACTTTCTTTACCCTCCTCCCCTGCTCGCTGACGCTAAGACCGATGAGCGGAAAGCGGGCAGCTGGACAACCGAGGGAGGGAAGGGGGT